TTTTGTTTGTTCTTTTATTATTCTGCTCAAAAGTAGCCTTCTTCTGGAATCCATTGTCATTGGTCCTCGTCTTCTCCCACTCAAAGCGTCTTCTCCTTCATTTGACCTCGATTTTAAGTAACATTATTTTCATATTAATCCGCTGCTACCACTTCTCAACATATTACTTTCTATTTTTCTATACCTTTCGAGTTTATATGATGCTTTTTATTCTCCTCATGCAACATGTCTTGTTGCCGTGCCGGAAATAGGCACAACGGACGAGTCAGGCTGACAATAGGAAAAGCGACATGCGGTCCGTTTTGTACTGTTGCTTTACCGTATTTGCCGGTCAGCTCGAGCCACGTGTGCGCCGGCAGGCCAGCCGCGGCCGCCGCCAACAGCAGGCTCTGAGCATCCGCCAAACCGTTGCTTGTCGCCGTCGCCGTCGCCGTCGCCGTCGCCGTCGTCGTCGTCGTTAATGCTCCACTCGACGTCGACGTTGGCGTCGGTGTCGGCAGTCCGAGGAGGGTCGGGCAGGTCTGAAGGTGGCAGTACGGCTCGGGGTAGTCAAAGGCGACAGTTTCGACGGCTGGTCTCCCCCTCCCAGCCTCGCCGTCGGCCAACGCCCGCTCCTCCCCTTCCTCTTCCTCCTCCTCCCCCTCGTCGTCATCGTTGTCGTCATCGTCGTCGTCGTCGTTGTCGTCGTCGTCGTCGCCTTCGTCCTGTTCTCTCTTTTCCTCTTCGCCCTCCCCCCTTTCTCTATCGCCCCTCTCAACCTCATCCACCTCCTCTTCTTCATCCTCCTGCAAATCGTCGTCGTCTTCGCCGTCGTCGTCGCCGTCGCCGTCTGTCATCAAACCGGCCTCCCGCCCCCCTTCGTTCGGCTTGTCGCGATGCCGCCTCCGTCGACTCACTCGGTCGCGTCGGGCCGCCAATTCGTGGCCCCGTCGGACCGTCGCCAAGTGACCCACGTCCGGCCAGACTGAGCTCATCCTCCCCCACGGCCCGTCACCGACGCCCCAAGCAAAGGCGCCCGTCGAGGGGGGACGGCCTGCCGGCGACCCGACGACCGGCGCCAACGGCTGCGGCGTCCGACAGGGCGGCTGTAGCGGAGGGGGGAGAGCGGCGAGGCCGCAGGAGCCGAGTCCCGGTCCCGGTCCCGGTCCCGGTCCCGGTGCGAGTGCCAGTGCGAGGCCGGGGGCGTGTGCCGGCCAAGAGGGCGGGGGTCCGGACGTCGAGGCGAGCGGCGACGGGCTGCTGTTGCTGCTGCTGCTGTTGTTGTTGTTGTTGATGTTGATGTTGTTGTTGTTGTTGTTGTTGATGATGATGTTGCCGGCATGCGAGTTGGCAAAGACGAGTGGCCCAGACGGGCAGGAGGCGGCGAGGAGGGGCGGTGCGCCGGAGGCGGCGGGCGCGAGGAGCGGGCGCGCCGAGGCCGGAGTGAAAGCGGCACCGGCCTCGTGTCCTGATTGGTCGGCGCTGGCGGGCATCGCCAGCGGCAGCGACAGAGACAGAGACATCGGCATCGGCATCGGCAGCGGCAGTGGCAGCGGCATCGGCAGCGGCAGTGTCAGCGGAAGTGGCAGTGGCATTGGCAGCGGCAGAGCGAGAGAGAGAGGCAACTGCATCGGCAGAGGAAGAGAGAGCGGCAGCGCAAGGGGCGGCACGAGGCCTGCCAACTTGACGGACTCGTGACAAGGCTCGAACAAGCCGGACACTCCCCCTGCCGAACCGGGGCATGGCAACGGCATGGCGACCAGATTGGCCGTCGGCGCGAGGGCGCCGAAGAGGGCGGCAGCCGATTCGTCGGCGCCCTGCAGTCGGCCGGTCGTCGTCGCGACGACCGGTTGCGAGGCGACGTCGGGGGGGTGGGCCGCGGACCAACAGGACTCGGCGGCACTTCGTTGCAGGAAGAAGAGCATCTCTTGGAAACTGGTCAAGCCGAGAGCGGCCGCGCCGCCGGACGCCTCGACGGGACTACAACAGGTCGCCACCGCATCGGCCAACGTCGACTTTGCCGTCGACGTTGGCGTCGACGTTGGCGTCGAGTTGTCGACGGCGAGGCCGTAGCCGCGGCCGGCGTCGTGGCGACGACGCGCCGGCGTCGCCTTGCGACTGCGAGCATCCGGCCTGAGGAGACTGTCGATGGAGAAGAGGAGACGATGCCCGTCCTCGGCGCGCAACATGCACGTCCTCGCCGTCGCCGTCGCCGTCGCCGTCGCCGTCGCCGTTGTTTCCGACTCGACGTGACCTCGGCCAACAGGCGCCGGCATTATCGTCGTCGTCGCCGTCGTTGGCGTCGGCGTCGTTGGCGTCGGCGTTGGTGTCGGCGAGAGTGAGGCGGGGCGGATGAAAGTGGAGAACATGCGTGTCGAGTTGTGGAGTTGGCGGCGCGTGTGGCGCCGCTGCGAGAGGCTGAACAACGTGAACTGGTCACGCCGAGGCAATTTGTTCTTTGTCAAAACACCTCTCCCGATGCACCCACTACCGCTCTCTACCCACCCGCCC